GGAAAGCATTTGATAAAATACAACATCCTTTCATGATGAAAACGTTAAGCAAACTGGGTGTAGAAGGAACATTCCTCAATACGATCCAAGGCGATTTATGACAAACCCATAGCCAGCATCTTATTGAATGGAAGCATTCCCACTTAGATCCAGAACCAGACAAGAATGCCCACTCTCACTATTACTACTTAATACAGTCCTGGAGTTTTAGCCAGAGCCATTAGGCAAGAAAAAGAATTTAAAGGGAAACAAATTGGAAAGGAAGAAGTCAAACTATCCCTATTTGCAGATGGCGTGATTCTATAGATAGGGAACCAAAAGATTCCACTAAGAGACTACCGGATTTCATAAACGAGTTTGGTAAAGTGGCAGGATATAAAATTAATTATAAATAATTAAATATAAAATTACACAAAAATCAATAGCCTTTGTATACACAAACAATGCCATGGCTAAGAAAGAACTTCTAAGATCAATCCCATTCACAATAGCTACAAAAAATTAAATATTACCTCAGAATAATTTTATCCAAGGATGTCAAAGATCTCTACAATGGAAATTACAAAACTTTAAAGTAAGAAATAGAAGAAAACACATACATGGAAAAATCTTCCATGATGGTGGGTTGGAAGAATTAATATAATCAAAATGTCCATACTACCAAATTCAGAGGCATCACAATACCAGATTTCAAGACATACTACAGGGCAGTTTTAATAATTAAACAAAGCCTGGTACTGGCACAAAAACAGATGGGTAGACCAAAAGAACAGAACAGAAACTCCAGAAATCAATCCACACATCTACAACCAATGTATCCTTGAAAAGGAGCTAAAATCAAACCCTGGAGTAAGGACAGTCTCTTCAACAAAGGAACCTAACTGATATATAAAGAACTTTTCATCCAACAGTTGCAAAATACACATTTTTCTCATGAGTGCATGGAACGTTGTCTAGGATAGACTATATGCTAAGCCAAAAAGTATGAAGCATGTGCCAAAGTATCAAGCTAGACTCCTACTTTACACCTTACATAAAAATCCACTCAAAATGGATCAATGACCTATATCTATGATGTATTACCATGAAATTACTTGAGAACACTGGGGAAGATCTGCAAGACATTGGCATAGGCAAAGACATCTTTAAAAAAGACCACAGAAGCACAGGCATTCAAAGCCAAAATTGACAAATAGTATTACATCAAGCTGAGGTGCTTCTGCACTGCTCAAGAAACACTCAGCAAAGTAAAGAGGCAACTGACAGGATGTGTGAAAATGTTTGCAAACTACAAAACTGACAAAGGATTAATATCCAGAACCTATAAAGAGCTCACAAACTCAACAAGAACAAAACAAACAATACAGTTAAGAAATGGTCAAAGGACTTGAGTAGACAGTTTTCAAGAGAGGAAATACAAATGACCAACAGACACATGAAGAAACGCTCAGGAGCACTAGCCATCAAGGAAATGCAAATCCAAACCACAATGAGCTTTCACCTCAACCCAGCTAGAATGGCTGTCATACAGAAGTCAACCAACAATAAATGCTGGCATGCATGTGGGGAAAAGAGTACTCTATTCCACTGTGGGTGGGAATGTAAACTGGTACAGCCGCTGTGGAAGTGGAGATACCTCAGAAAGCTGAAAATAAATCTACCATATGACCCAGCAAGCCCACATTTGGGAATTGTCTTAAGGACATAAAATCATCACATGAAAAAGTTATCTGTGCCCCCTTGTTCACTGCAGCACAATTCACAATAGCTAAGATATGGAATCAACCCAGATGTCCATCAGCTGACGACTGCATAAAGAAATTTAGGCACATATACACTATTGAATACTACTCAGCAGTAAAAAATAAATAAATAAAAAAAATCCTGTATTTTGCAACAAAATGGCTGCATCTGGAAACTATTATACTTAGTGAAATAAGCCAGTTCTATAAAGACCAGGTACTATATATTTTCCACCTCCTTATCTATGTGTGATTGACAGAGTATCTAAAATGTAATGTTTAGGAGTGATAATGAAATTCTGAGATTCCATGATTGTTACAGCCCTTGTCTCTACTGTTGAGGATTTGTTATGTTCTTCCCTCATACTCTTTGTTGAACGCTTTACTTAGTGTAGGGTTAATCTTATGAGTATAAAGTAAACTTAAAATAGATCTTTGTAAAAATTAAGAGTGAGACTAAGAGAAAGTAGAGGAAGAAGGTTGGGAACATGGGCAGGAGGTAGGGTAGGATGGGAAGAATCATCACTATGTTCCTAAATCTGTATATGTGGAATACATGAAATTGGCATACCTTAAATAAAAATTTAAACAAAGAAAGAAGCTATGGAATTTAGACTACATCTTGGGGTCAACGGGAAGGTGCTGAAGGGATTACAGAGGGGTAATGATTTGTCCTTCAGAGAGAAATTTTTTGATCAACAATGGGTAATGAGAAGGGATAGGGAGCAAATCCTGGGAGTCACAAAATACACTGTGCAGCCTGAGCAGCATCCATTTCTTCTAGGAACAAAGAGGAGGAGGAGACACGTTATAGCCATGGCTGTTTTAATTACCTCCTATTCGTTTTATTAGAGAGGAAGCGGTTCCTGCTTTAGGCTGTGGCTGTGCAGACCACAAACATGGAACAATTGACACTGGACAGATGACGCTGACAACAACTTATTAATCAAATATCCTCAGAGTATAGAAGAAGAGAGCACTGTATGCCACGCAAGGTA